CTAACCTTAACACAACAGGTGCCGGGGGCCTGAGCAGAGTTCATGGGTCAGACCCACCCTCTTCAGCCCGTCTTGGCTCCACGTGCTGAAGTGATTCCCCAGTCGGTGATACTGAAGCTTAGAATTCTAGTTCTCGGGATAGTGGCTTCTACATGAAGCTCATTTGGGAGTGAATCTCCTGGGGCCGCTGCTTCCTTTCCTTCTTCGCTGACTCGGGAAGGACATGATGTGGACGTGGCTGCCTGTGAGGACCCTGCCCCAGGGAAGTCAGTGAGGGTTTTGTGGGAGCCCTCTCACATCTGGGGAGGCGCAGAAGCGCGGATTTCTTCTACGGACCGAGAGATGCATATACAGCCGTCATGAGACCAATTATGGTCAACTCACTAAACTAGATTTTTAGGAAGTTTGGGAAATACTGTTCCCGCAAAGCACCCTTCCCTTGTCCACCCGTCGCGGGTGCTGGGGTTGCCCGTGGGAGACCTGGCCTTGGTGCCCTCCACTTCCCTCCTTCAGTCCCGAATCCAGCTCTGGAGGAGAAGCAGCTGGAGGTAGGGAGCGGGGGGGGCGGGGGAAACGTGCCCCATAAAGAGACCGGCGCCTGACAGCAAGGACCCCTGAGCTCACAGGACGGCAGGTAAGAACAGCAGCTGGACTCCCTCCTTGTGAGGATGAAACTGCCTGAGCTGCTGGGGACCCAGAGGGCCGGCTGGAGTCTGCAGCAGCTTGCTGACCTCACGGCCCGAATTTCCACCACGTTTCAAACTCGCTCCCCTGAATCTGCATGTGGGACCCATGCGGAGGCACGATGAGACAGCTGCACCTGCCCAGGGGACATTCCAGACCCCCCTTTCCCTTCGGCAACCACCTGCTCATCCCGGAACCCACCCCAAACCTTCCCTAGTGACAGCCCTGCCTTAAGGCCAGGATTCGAGACGGATGTGAGCCGGATCCTGGCTCCTTGTGTGGGGCCCAAAACAAGCCCGTGATTCCTCAAACCCGGTGCCAGGGCCGGCTTCTGAGCACACCTGGAAGCCAGCCCCATTCACTGTCTTCCTCTCTGCAAACCAGCTGCTCACACTTGTTTCCCCAAAGCTCCTATCCTCTCCCAGGCCCCTCACCCTGTCACCTCTCAGGACCAGGGTGTCCCCGAGCGCGCTTTAGGGGGTGCCCGGAGATGGGATGGGGCACTAGACATCCAGCAGGGAGCAGAGGGGACTTGAAACGCCAGCGGAACCCACAGAGCAACGAAAGGAAGCAGAGAGCAGCCGCGTGCGTGGGCTCCGAGGACTCCGCAGAGTGTCTGCACATTGCAGGCCCCACCCACGCGGAGCCCCAGAAAATGCCAAGTGGGGAATGCAGCCAACCAGCGGAGGGGCCACGGGGTGGGGGAAGCTCGGGGGCAGCAGCACGGTGACAGGCGCGGCGGAGGCGTTGGGCAGACGCACCTCCCTGCACACGTTAAGGGCGGTTTTTTGTGCAGCAGTCACACCCCAATGAAGCTGCTTAAACATGAAACAAAGACAAGCACAGTGGCATTCTCAGAGACGCCTGAGAGGATGGGGCATCGCGGACTGAGACACGTGGTTTTTTTTTAAATTGTACTTTGGGCTCTGAGGTGCACGTGCGTGTCCTGCATCCTGCAGGGCTGTTGCTAGGTACACACATGCCACGGTGGTTCTGTCTCCATCCCCCGTGGCCCACATCAGGCATTTCTCCCGGTGTTATCCCTCCCCATCCTCCCCACCCCCACTGTCCCTCCCCTCCCCTCCACACCCCCCCAACCTACCCCAGTGAGTGCTGTTTCCCTGCCTGTGCCCATGTGTTCTCACTGTTCATCACCCGCCTATGAGTGAGAACATGCAGTGTTTGGTTTTCTGTTCTTGTGTCACTTTGCTGAGAATGACGGTTTCTAGGTTCATCCATGTGTTTATAAAGGACACGAACTCGACAATGGTATTTTTTAAAAAGGAAGGACCAGGCCGGGCACAGTGGCTCACACCTGTAACCTCAGCACTTTGGGAGGCTGAGGCCAGGAGGATCACCTGAGGTCACGAGTTCAAGGTCACCTGGGCAACATGGGGAAACCCCGTCTCTATTAAAAATGCAAAAATTAACAGGGCGTGGTGGCGGGCGCCTGTAATCCCAGCTACTTGGGAAGCGGAGGCTGCAGGGAGCTGAGATTGTGCCATTGCCCTGCAGCCTGGGTGACGAGAGAGACTCCATCTCAATAAATAAATTAATTAATTAATAAAAAAGAATGACCGTTTGAATAACGACTGGAATAAACATGTAGTAAAACTCTTGGAAAATGAAGATAAGGAAATATCCCCAAGACAGAGCAAAAGCTCAAAGAGATGGACAAGAGGGAAACAAAAATGAATATGTAGGAAGCAGGTCGGTCTGAGAACTCCGAACTCACGGAGGGGAGGACACCACCCAGGACAGAAACGAGCCCAGGCGTCTGGGGTCCTCCGACTGGACGAGCACGCCACGCTCCCAGCCCAGTAACCGGATGAAACCCCAGCCCGGCCTGCGTCTCGGTGAGATCCTCTGCTAGAAGTGGAAATGTGTTTACCCTAAAAGATTCCAGATCGGGAGAAACGAACAGACAGCAGAGCGTCAGGGGTCCAGTGACGCACTAAGAAGACACCCGCGCCACTGACCAGCGTAGTCGGTTCTGGGCCGTCCGCTGGGTCCCCTCCCAGTCCCGGGCCATCCGCTGGGTCCCCTCCCAGTCCCGGGCCGTCCGCTGGGTCCCCACAGACCCGGACCGTCCGCTGGGTCCCCTCCTAGTCACGGGCAGTCCGCTGGGTCCCCTCCCAGTCCCGGGCCGTCCGCTGGGTCCCCTCCCAGTCCCGGGCAGTCCGCTGGGTCCCCTCCCAGTCCTGGGCCGTCCTCGGCCGTCATCGGGACCTTCTGCTCCTCAGTGGCTGCAGAGACCCGCCACGATCTGGGAGGCACCTCGTCGTCTGCTAATGGCCACAGTTCCCCAGGCTGTTCCCAAGTGGTTTGCGTTGCCAAGCCCTCGCCAGCTTGCACCCAACTCCACACTCTCCCCAGGATGACTGTGGGCCCCATACAGAATGTGTCCTCGCCAGATAAGATTCCCCAGGTGTACACTAGGAGAGGGAGGACTGGCTTCCGTGCGCCTACACTCCAGACCCTATACTCCTGTTGATGCAGCCTCAACCAGAATCAACTTCTTCTGATGCCTGTTCTTTGCTAGTTAATGGTGAGTCTGCGGTGATGTGATGACCGTGTGGGCTGCTCTGAAGCCCTCGGGAGGTCTGAGCCTGGTCTCATTTGAGAGAGAGCACTTCTGCTTGGCCTGGCTCAGCCCAAAGGCCAGACGCGGATGTGGGTGCTTGGAATGCGTGAGCTGTGGTCGGGTTCTGAAGTCAGCTCTTGGGTGCCTGACTGGGTCCTTTTGCTTCTGCTTCCTCTCGGCATCCTTGGGGCTTTGTGAAAGTCCAGCTGCCTCCACTGTGCTGGGAGCCAGTGGGATAGGAGGGAGAGGGGACGTGTGCACTTCCTGTCCCAGCCATCCCCTGCCAAGGGGCCTTATCCTGAGAGCCAGCGTGGGGCAGCTGTGCCCCGAGGCTCTGTGCACCCCCACAGGGCTGCGGGGGGTCCTTGGAGAGCTGAGGGCTCCTCTGTCCACCACCAGGCGGCCCCCATGCCAGGACCCGGAAGGGTGCCGTCTGCCTCACCACTGCTGTCCTCTCCACCCAGGCAGGGACTTCCCAATTGCATAGTCAGGGGCAGGGTGGGGCTCTGCCAGACCATCACCTCTAGGTGTACCTGGAGCCCAGAGGGAGCCTTAGAATCCTTCTTGACACAGGGCTCTAGGAAGCTACCACCTGGCCAGAGTTCACCTCTCCATCTAAAGCTCTTTGCCACTGCTGGTCGATGCTGGCCATCAGAGTGCCCCCGCAGGGCTGAAGCCAAGTCCCACGCCCAGTTCTGCTCATCTCCCTGATCCCCAAAGCTCGCTGGGGACAAGACTGGACATCTGCACTCAGCCCGGCTCAGCTGGTCAGCCTCGCATGAGTCCATCCTGGGGTGGGGATTGTTCCATGGACTCCTTCATCTCTCAGAAATGAAAATCCCAGAGGGCCAGGGTGGGAGAAGTCAGGGACAGGGAAACTATCTGCTCGGCTGTGCCCTGGACAAAGCCCCTGGAGAGCTGGGTTTTGGTGAGAGCAGGACATACTGCGGGGCCGTGGGGCAGGTCTGCAGGACCAGGGCAGGTGCGGGAGTCCTGAGGAAGCCCTGAATGGGGGCATGGTGCCAGTGGCAGGGCCAGACCCATTCCAAGGGTTCTGGTAACACAGGAGGGCACTGGGCTGGGGCAGGATGGAGAGGAGAGGGTGCCAGCCCAGGTGGGCTGCCCTCATTCTCATGCAGGCACACCCCCCGTCCCTGCCCCACTGGTAACTGTTGGTCACCTTCATGGGCCTTTCCAGAATGATGTGACCTGGTCCCAGCTGGTGCAGATCTAGGGCTCAAGGAGAGTCATGGGCAGGCTGGGCATGGCTTCTGCGGAGGGCAACCGAAGGCTCAGGCCCCTGAGGAGGGGGAGATGGGCAGGGAACTCCATAATGAGACCTTCCAAGCACAGTCTGAGTGGCTTAGTGGGGTTGGGGCAAGCTCCTCGTGGGTGGGGTGCCAGCAGGTCTGGTCCAGGCTGGGCAGTGTGCCCCAAGATGGTGAATCAAGGAACAGAAAGGGGAGGACAGGGAGAGGCTGGTGCTGTGACCAGAGACCATGCCACAGGACTGGGTATGGGCTCTCCTGGGCATTAAGCCTTCTGCTTATGGACCTTCCTGGGCACAGACCCTCCTGGGTATGGACACTTCTGGGCATGAAGCCTTCTGGGCATGAACACTCCTGGGCATGGACCTTCTTGGACATGCACCCTTCTGCACACAGTCCCTCCTGGCATGAGCCTTTGTATTACTCTGTTTTCATACTGCTATAAAGAACTGCCTGGGACTGGGTAATCTATAAAGGAAAGAGGTTTAATTGACTCACAGTTCAGCATGGCTGGGGAGGCCTCAGGAAACTTACAATCATGGTGGAAAGCAAAGGGAAAGAAAACACCTTCACAAGGTGGCAGGAAGGAGCGGTGCCAAATCAAGGAGGAAGAGCACCTTGTAAAACCACCAGGTCTCAGGAGAACAACATGGGGGAACCACCCCATGATTCAATCACCTGCACCTGTTCTCTTCCTTAACATGTGGGGACTACAATTCAAGATGAGATTTGGGTGGGGACACAAAGCCTAATTATACCATTCCGCCCCAGCCCCTCCCAAATCTCACATCTCTTTTACATTTCAAAACCAGTCATGTCTTCCCGAGAGTCCCCCAAAGTCTTAATTCATTCCAGCATTAACCCAAAAGTCCAAGACCAAAGTGTCATCTGAGACAAGGCAAGTCCCTTCTGCCTAAGAACCTGTAAAATCAAAAGCAAGTTAGTTACATATTAGATACAATGGGAGTACAAGTACTGGGTAAACACATCCTTTCCAAATGGGATAAACTGGCCAAAATGAAGGGGCCAAAGGCCCCATGAGAGTCCAAAATCAAGCAGAGCAGTCAAAACCTAAAGCTCCAAAATGATCTCCACATCTCACATCTAGGTCAGGCTCATGTAAGAGGTGGGCTTCCACGACCTTGGGCAGCTCCACCCCGATGCTTTGCAGGGTACAGCCTCCCCTCCAGCTGCCTTCATAGGCTGGTGTTGAGTGTCTGTGGTTTTTCCAGGTGCATGGTGCAAGCTGTCAGTGGATCTACCATTCTGGGGTCTAAGGGTGGTGGCCTTCTTCTCAGCTCCACCAGCAGTAGGCAGGACCCCAGCAGTGACTTTGTGTGAGGGCTCCAACCCCACATATCCCTTCTACACTGCTCTAGCAGAGGTTCTACAGGAGGGTGGCACCAGTGCAGCAAACTTCTGTGTACCTGCAGGCCCAACACCACATGTAAGCCACCAAGGCTTGGGGCTTGCACCTCCTGAAGCAAAGGCCTGAGCTGTACATTGGCCCTTTTTAGCCACTGCTGTGATGCAGGGCACCAAGCAGCAGGCCCTGGGCCCCACCCACAAAACCATTTTCTCCTCCTAGGCCTCCAGGCCTGTGATGGGTGGGGCTGCTGTGAAGACCTCTGACATGCCCTGGAGACATTTCCCCCATTGTCTAGGCTGTTAACATGCGGCTCCTAGTTACTTATGCAAATTTCTGCAGCTGGCTTGAATTTCTCCTCAGAAAATTGGTTTTTCTTTTCTCTTCCATAGTCAGGATGCAAATTTTCTAAACTTTTATACTTTGGTTCCCTTTTAAATGTGAGTTCCAATTCCCAATCGTGTCTTTGCGAATGCATGAAATTGAATGCTTTTAAGAGCATCTAATTCACATTTTGAATGCTTTGCTGCTAAGAAATGTCTTCTGCCAGATACCCCAAATCAGCTCTCTCACTTTCAAAGTTCCACACATCTCTATGGAAGGGGCAAAATGCTGCCAATCTCTTTGCTAAAACATAGCAAGAACCACCTTTACTCCAGTTTCCAACAAATTCCTCATCTCCATCTGAGACCACCTCAGCCTGGAATTCATTGTCCATATCGCTGCTATTCAACAAGTCTCTAGGAAATTCCATACTTCCCCACATCTTTCTGTCTTCTTCTGAGTCCTCCAAACTGTTCCAACCTCTGACTATTACCCAGTTCCAAAGTCACTTCCACATTTTTGGGTATCTTTATAGAAGCACCCCACTCTCTTTGGTACCAATTTACTGTATGAGTCTGTTTTCATACTGCTGTGAGGAACTGCCTGAGACTGGTAATTTTAAATGAAAGAGGTTTAATTGACTCTCAGTTCAGCATGGCTGAGGAGGCCTCAGGAAACTTGCTACCATGGCAGAAGGTAAAGGGGAAGCAAGGCACTTTCTTCACAAGGCAGCAGGAAGGAGAAGTGCCAAGTGAAGGGGGCAGAGCTCCTTGTAAAACCATCAAATCTCATGAGGACTCACTATCATGAGAACAGCATGTGAAAAACAGCCCCCATGATTCAATTACTTCCACGTGGTCTCTCCCTTGACACCTGGGGACTATGGGTATTACAGCCACTACAATTCAAGGTGAGATTGGGTGGGGACACAAAGCCTAACTGTATCAGCCCTCTGGGGCATGGATCCTCCTGGGAATGGGGCTTCCTGGACCTTACTGGGCACAAACCCTCCTGGGCATGGGGTTCTCCTGGACATGGTCCTTCCAGGGCACAGGGCTCTGTTGTGCATGGGCCCTCCTCAGCATGGACCCTCCTGGGCATGCAACCTCTCTGACATGGATGCTCCTGGATATGAACCTCCCTGGGCATGGGCCCTCCTTGACATGGACCCTCCTGGGCATAGACCTTCCTGGGCATGGACATTCCTGGGCATAAACCCTCCTGAGCATGCACGGCCCCTCCCGGGCACGGAATCCTCCTGGCCATAACCCCCTCCTCGGGCACGGACATGTTTGGGTATGGACCCTCCTGGACATGGGACCCTTTTGGGGATGGAGCCCTCCTGGGCACAGGACCCTTCTGGGAATGGGGCCCTCCTGCTCATGAATCCTCCTGGGCATGCACCCTTTTAGGCACAGGGGCTTCATGGGGCTCTCCTAGGCATGGGCTCTCCTGAGCCTGGGGCCCACAAATCCCATGAGGTTGGCCCAGACCACGTGGGTGGCCTTGCAGGTGGCCTCTGCCTGCCCCACGTTGGCTGCATGCTTGTGCCGTGCCTCTGCCAGAACCTGACTGCCATCTCTCTCCAGTCCTGCAGAATGTAGAGCAGGGTGGGGCGGTGCCCGTGGAGACACAGTATGGGCGTCTCCATACAGGGTGGGTGCGAGCCCAGGCCAGCTGGTCCACACTCACAGGAGGTCTCTGGAGAGCTCCATCCAACCAGCGTGGGTTTCAAGATGCCCTCCACATAGAAACCAGCAGGCTGCCCACCTCTGCCTGGGTGGGCACCCAGTCCCTGCCCCTGTCAGACATGGCTTCCAGCCTTTCCCTGAAGGAAGGACAAGAGGGCTGTATCCCTTGGCAGACCCTGGCCACCCCTCACTGCCACCCCATCCCAACCCACTCCTCACCTGCATGAACTTGGTCACCCCCGGCTTGCTCCCCTGTGCAGCCCCTACATGGAGACCAGCTGCTCCCAGCCCACCTTGAGTGAGGAAACCTGGCCTGGGGGCCTCTAGTGTGGTCCTGCCAGGAGCTTCCAGAGCCCCTGCCCGTCCTCCAGATGGGTGGGGGGAGGGGTGAAAGGGTCCACGGAGGGTCTGCAAGTGAAGAGCCCCAGAGGGTTCCCTGGAAGATGTCCCCTGGTCCCCTGAGCCATCTGCTCCCTCCCTGCCTCCTGTCACATGAGTGGGCAACACAGAGGGCCCCACCAGGACTGACTCCGGGTAGTACGTTTGATTCCAGCCCCAGGGGGCGGCGGCAGGTGTCATCAAGGCTGCACCCTGGCCAGCAGGAACCCACCCTGGCCAGGTGAGCTGGCTCTGGGGGTGGCAAGAGTACGGCCTCGTCCTGGGGGTCTCGGGTTGGCCTGGCTCTGGCCTCAGTCCTCTTGCCCTTAACCCTGTCCCTCTCTCTTCCCAGAAGAGCATGTGTTAGGGCCATCCTTGCCCACCCAAGGCTCCAAGAGGGTGCACAGTGAGCTCAGGGCTGATCCTGGGCTCACTGCTGCTGGTCCCAGCTTCCCCTGGCAGGCAGCACCTCCCGGAGCCCCCGAGGCCTGGCCGCCAGCACCCACAGTGCGCCTCCTAGGTGAGGGTCACACACAGAGAGTCCTGGCTTTTGTGGGCTTTGGCGCTGGGAGGCGCAGCCAGTGCAGACGCCTCCTGGAACTCCTTGGCCATGTAGTAGTAGCAGATGGCATCCAGGCAGCAGTTGGCATCCGAGAGCTTGCTGGTTATGTAGAGGGCACGGCCGAGGGTCTTCAGGAGGCCACAGGCGTGGAGGTCCACAGCGAGGCGCACCGTCAGCACCACATGCAGGGGCAGGAAGCAGACCACGAAGACCACGAGGTTGGCCCAAACCATGCGGGCGGCCTTGCGGGTGGCCTCTGCCTGCCCCACGTCAGCGGGTGGCCTCTGGGCCAGGGCAGTCACCACCTTCAGGGAGCAGAAGACCACCACGGCCAGCGGCAGGTAGAAGCCCAGCAGCGAGATGGCCACGGAGTTGTAATTGTGCCGGGAGCTCCTGAAGCAGAAGCCACCCGCCTGCATCCCCAGGAGCCAGCGAGCCACCAGGGAGCTGATGACCAGCACCCAGAGGGCCACACACACGGCCGCAGCCTGCCGGGGGGACCGCAGCCAACGGGCGCGCAGCGGGTGCTGCACGGCCACGTAGCGGTCCACAGCGATGGCCGTGACCAGGCTGATGCTCATGTACCTGTTGGTCAGGTAGATGCCCTGGGAGAGTTGGCACAGCGGCGTGTCCGAGGTGTCCTGCAGGGAGTGCAGCACGAAGGGCAGGGCGCACAGCAGGCAGAGGTCAGCCGCCGCCAGGTTGCTCATGTAGATGCGGGTCTCTGTCCACTGCTGCATGCGGCAGAGGAACACCCAGAGCGCCAGGCCGTTGAGCAGCAGGCCCAGCACCAGCAGGACGCCCGAGTAGGCATAGAAGCCGAGCCTGAGCTGCGGGGACCAGGTGAGGTCGCTGGAGCTGCAGGCGTTGTAGGTGCCGTTCATGGTCCTGGGGCTGCGGGGGACACGGAGGTCAGCAGAGAGCCAGCGGGAAGAGCGAGGCACTGCCCCACTCCACCCACCTGCGGCCAGGGATGGGGGAGGAGGTGAGCCCCGACCCCACATCCACAAGCACAAAACTCCCCAAAGAAATCATGGATGCCGTAAAGAACTCGAGTCTGAGCCCTGGACAGATCCTCCCAAGCTCTCCTGGGACCTGACTGCTGTCACAGGACAGGAAGGGAGGCAGAAGGAGCTCCATGTCTCCGTCCAGTTCCCAGCTGAACAAGTGCTGCTCTCCAGAGCTGAAATCCTGGACAGGGAGCCCAAAGGGCTGCCAGCCTCATGCAGCACACAGCTCAGCAGGGAGGGCTGCAAGGCAGCAGCACCTGTCAGCCTGAGGATGGAATGACCAGGTTCCCGGAAAAAGCCCAGGGCGGCCCCTCCACCCCTCCCAGGACCCGGCTGTGGGAGGCACCCACATTTGACCCCACATCTCCGCCGCCCTTCCCCACGGCAGAGTCCAGGACAGCTGGGGCTGCGGCTGTGGCCTGCCCCTCCCTCCCTGGGAGCACCCACCCACCCAGTCCTGAGCTCTGGAGGGCCTGCCTGGGATCAGCCTGAGGCCCCATCCCAGTCCTGCATGTGAGATGGGGCATCCACTCCTTGAGCTCCCAGTGGTCAGAGCCCATGAGGGCAGCTCTGTCCCTCCAGGCCCTGGCCACACTGCTCAGGGGCTACCCTGAGATGGTGCTGAGCGTCCTCCTCCTGTCACCATCAGGACCACCACAGGGCCACCCCTCCACTGTCCGTGCTGGCCTCTCGCTGCCCCAACACCCTCCGCGACACAGCCCAGGAAGGCTGAGGCCAGCCCAGGGTGGACTTCAGCAGGGTCTGGCATCCAGGACATGGGCTGGAGTCACGCTGACTCGGCCATCCCCCAGGCTGGGCAAACTTGTTTCCTCATCGTAAGGGGTGCTGGTGTCGTAGGGGGGTGTGGTGTGAGGTGGAGCTGCTGGTGAGCACCCAGAGCACCCACGTGACTCACAGTCACGTGTCCCCCTGCCCGGGTCCCTCAGTGGGTCCAGGAAGAGCCTGGAGGGGTAGGGGTAGGAGAAGCCTCTCCCCCCATGGCCAGGCTGTTCTCGGGGGCATCCCACAGGGGTTTCCTGTTGGCCTGGGAGGGAAGGTGGGAAAGACTCAGTTCACAGCGAAGGGCCCCCCCTCCTCCCTCTGCCTCCTCCTTCTGCCTTGGGGAGCACAGAAATTCCCCCACATCAGGAGAGGGGAGAGTGCCTAAACCCTGTGACTGCAGCTGCTGGGGACCATTCGTGCTGGTGGCCCCTGGGGACTCCAGTCTCCAGTCCATGAGGGATGCAGGGCACAGATTTCAGCCGGAAACAGACTTTCTGCCCTCTGGCTCCATCCGTCTACTTAGATCCCTCGCTGGCTTCCAGGTTTCAGGAGCCCTTCCCCGTGGGCAAAGTACTGGTGCCCAGGGCCTCTCTCCTCCCTTCTGATGGACCCGCTTGCTTCTCTCTGATTCACAAGCAGCACCTTGCCCTGGTTCTGGGGACCTCTGGAGGGATCCTGAGCCAGGCCAGGCGCTGAGGACATCCCAAAACCCACTGGAACCATCCGCTGGGATCTGCCCTTCTGGTCTATCCCGTGTTCCTACGGGCCAGGAGCCGGGAGACCCCAGAACCTGCTCAGAATCTACACTTCACAGGCACCTGAGCTGGGCCGACCCGTGCGCTGGGGAGGCCTCCGTGTGACTGACCTCCCGTTCCCCCCACCTGAGCCCTCCCATCCACCAAAGTCAAGGGCCGGTCTTGGGCAGGGCACAGACCTGGTGGGTGGAGGGGGCTGCACGGCGATTCCTTCCTGCCCGTTCTGGAGCAATAGCTGCCTGAGACCTGCCTCAAGGGAGGTGAGGACCGGGGGTCGTGGGCCTGGCCCCTTCCCATTGCCCAGCTTCCCCTCTCCCCCCACCCCATGGCTGCCAAGGGGCTCTCAGGTCACACATTCCCAGGGCTGTCACTTTCATGCTAGGCTCGGTGTGGCCCAGGATTCTGTGGGGGAGAGTTTAACTGCAGGCCCAGCACGGTGGCTCACACCTGTAATCCCAATACTGGGAGGCTGAGGCTGGAGGATCACTTGAGGCCAGAACTTTAAGAATAACCTGGGCAACACAGGAGACCCCATCTCTACAACAAAAATGTAAAACAATGAGCTGGGCTGGTGACGCGTGCCTACAGTTCCAGCTCCTCGGGAGGCTGAGGCAGGAAGGCGGCTTGAGGAAGCCGAGGCCGCAGTGAGCTCCGACCGCACCACTGCACTCCAGCCTTAGGGGAGCGTGAAACCCTGTCTGTAAGAAGAAAAAACTCTAACTACAATGTTTAAAATGTTCCCATTCATAATAAAACAAACACTGAGCTGTTGGGGAGGAAATGCAAATGCTGCACGGGGCTTTGAAGAGGTTCCCTGTCCATGGGTCCTCGTGACGCCTGTCGGGTGCTTCCCAAAACACGTCAGGAAATCAAGGCCCAGGCTTCAGCCCAGAAAGCAGGGTCCCTGGGAGCTACCATGGCCAGCACAGGTGCCCACCTACCGCCCCAGACCCACCCAGGAATCTGTGTCCAGGCCACGGGCCACAGATCCTCAGGCCCATCTTCCTCGGCAGACACCAGCACCGTCAGCCTCAGGGAGCTCCCGCTGCCAGGGACTGGGGGACGGGGCCCTGCCACTTCCTGCCCAGGAGGCTGTGGGGGACAGGAGCCAGCCGCATGCCACTGAGGGCCCGCTTCCCCTTCCGATGACAAGGTCAGCGTTGGCTTCTGCACACAAAAGCAGAAAGCTGCCCTTTGATTCTGCACGGAGCAATCCAGAGAGAAGCCTGGCTGTAGGCGAGAGGCCCAGCCACACCGGGGGCCCTCGCCAGCCCTTCGCACTGTCTGGACCGGGTACCCACCTACACCCCTGAGTACCTGGCTGGCCTGGAGTTGGGACTATAGGTCCTGACCACTTCCTAAGACATGGGGGCCAGGAGTGGGGAACAGACCCCTGCTGCCTAGGCACCAAAGAGGGCCCTATACCTGTGAGCCCTCCAGGCCTGGCCCCCACATACAGCAAGCTGGTACACACAGGCTCCAAGCCCCGATCAGCCTGAGGCCACCTGAGAGCCCATCACAGATTCACCCCACCTGAGACCCCATCACAGCCTCAGCCCACTCTGAGATCCCATCACAGCCTCAGCCCACTCTGAGATCCCATCACAGCCTCAGCCCACCTGAGACCCCATCACAGCCTCACCCTGCTCTGAGATCCCATCATAGCCTCACCCCACTCTGAGATCCCATCACAGCCTCACCTTGCTCTGAGATCCCATCACAGCCTCACCCTGCTCTGAGATCCCATCACAGCCTCAGCCCACTCTGAGATCCCATCACAGCCTCACCGTGCTCTGAGATCCCATCACAGCCTCACCGTGCTCTGAGATCCCATCACAGCCTCAGCCCACCTGAGATCCCATCACAGCCTCAGCCCACCTGAGATCCCATCACAGCCTCACCCCACTCTGAGATCCCATCACAGCCTCACCGTGCTCTGAGATCCCATCACAGCCTCACCCCACTCTGAGATCCCATCACAGCCTCAGCCCACTCTGAGATCCCATCACAGCCTCAGCCCACCTGAGACCCCATCACAGCCTCACCCCACTCTGAGACCCCATCACAGCCTCACCCCACTCTGAGACCCCATCACAGCCTCACCCCACTCTGAGACCCCATCACAGCCTCACCTGCTCTGAGACCCCATCACAGCCTCACCCTGCTCTGAGATCCCATCACAGCCTCACCCTGCTCTGAGATCCCATCACAGCCTCACCCCGCTCTGAGATCCCATCACAGCCTCACCCCGCTCTGAGACCCGATCACAACCTCAGCCCACTCTGAGATCCCATCACAGCCTCAGCCCACCTGAGATCCCATCACACCCTCAGCCCACTCTGAGACCCGATCACAACCTCAGCCCACTCTGAGATCCCATCACAGCCTCAGCCCACCTGAGATCCCATCACAGCCTCAGCCCACCTGAGACCCCATCACAGCCTCACCGTGCTCTGAGATCCCATCACAGCCTCACCGTGCTCTGAGATCCCATCACAGCCTCAGCCCCACTCTGAGACCCCATCACAGCCTCAGCCTGCTCTGAGATCTCATCACAGCCTCAGCCCACTCTGAGATCCCCCCATCACAGCCTCACCCCGCTCGGAGACCCCCCATCACAGCCACACCCCACTCTGAGATCCCAACACAGCCTCAGCCCACTCTGAGACCCCCCATCACAGCCTCACCCCGCTCTGAGACCCCCCATCACAGCCTCACCCCTCTCTGAGATCCCATCACAGCCTCAGCCCACTCTGAGTCCCCCCATCACAGCCTCACCCTACTCTGAGACCCCCCATCACAGCCGCACCCCTCTCTGAGATCCCATCACAGCCTCAGCCCACTCTGAGTCCCCCCATCACAGCCTCACCCTACTCTGAGACCCCCCATCACAGCGTCACCCTGTTCTGAGAACCCCTATCATGCCCCTGCCCCGCTGGGAGGCCCCTAGAGCCGTGGGCCCCACCGACCTGGACCTGCAGGCAGCCTTGGCCTCCCGGTGGAGTGTGTGATCCCCGATGCCGAAGCCTGCGCACGGGCTGTCTGAGGAGGGCTGGGGGGAAGTGAGGCTGGTCCCTGACTCTGCCCCTCCTTAAGGCTGAGGGCGGCCGGCCCTCTGACGACAGCAGGCCAGGGGTGACGGGAGTTCCCTGCTCCTGCACCAGCCCCAGGGGGATTTCTGGGAGGGAAGTGGGGTGCCGGCCCTCGGTACTGACACCTCTGAAGAACCAGCATCCTTGCTGAGGGCACACATTGAGCTGGAAACAGCATGAGAGACAGCAAAAGCAGAGCCGCTCCAGCCCCGCCCACGGAGCCCTCCCCGCTCCCCAGCCCACTTCTGCCCCGTCATCTCAAAAAGCCTCCAGCTCCACCCTTCCCAGAGCCTCACGCCCAGCCCTGGCAGGGTGCAGCACGCACACTCATCCGGACTCACGAAGACACGCTCCACACCTTCCAACACACGCACGCACACACATGCACACCGGCACACATGCATGCACACCCACATGCCAATGCACACACCAGTGCATACACCGGCGCACATGGACTCACACACACACATACGAATGCAAGCACACACCAATGCACATGCACGCATGTGCACACACCAATGCACATGCTGACACACATGGACACACACATATGCACGCATGCATACGCCAATGCACACACTGGTGCACATGCACGCATATGCACACACCAATGCACACGCTGGCACACATGGACGCACGCATGCATACGCCAATGCACACACCGGTGCACATGCACACACCGGCACACATGCATACACACGCCAACGCACACACCAACTCACACACCAGTGCACATTCACACACCAACGCACACACCAGTGCACAGGCATGCACACGCAAACACCAATGCACACGCCGGCGCACATGGACACACACATGCGCACGCCAACACGCACCGGCAGACATGCACACACACAGGCACAGGCCAACACAGGCGCACACGGGTGAGAGGCACATGCTCCAGCGTGCACAGGTAGCTGGGTCCTGCCCTCCTCCTTCCCCACAAGGCCACCTGCAACTCCTCCAAGCCCATCCCCTCAGAAGCCTTTCCAGACCACCCCTCTGGAGCCCCACTGCCCTAGGGGCATCCCAGCAGGGCAGGGGCATCATGGGGGTTCTCAGAGTAGGATGGTGCATTCTCCAGGCTAGAATGTTCTCTCTGGCCCCCACCTCCTAGGCAGACATCTTCCCTCTGAGCTCAGGGTGGGGGAGCTCATAGGCCCAGGCTGCCCCTCTGTGGTGCGGGGGCACCCACCCCCCTCCTGGGCCCCGTCCACCCCGAGTGCAGGGAACTTGTCCCCTCAACGTGGGCTTCACCGCCCCTGACCACAGCCTCTCTCTCTTCAACAACCGGGAGAGGCTGGGGAGAGCTTCAGCCTCCCCCTCCCACTTTACAGTCGTGGAGACAGGCCCAGGGAAGGGGAGCACTTGGCCCGGTGTTCCAGGGGCGGGGGCAGGTCTGAGACCAGTGCCCGGGCTCTCTACCCAGAGGCACCTGAAGCACCCTGGCTGGGCCTCGGTCCTTCTCTGCTGTCATCCTAGGCCTAGCTCCTTCCCGGCCAGCTGTCCCTCCAGACCCAGTCCCCAAGGCGGGCCCTCGGGTTCCCTGCCCAGGCCCCGTGGGCCGTGATGTGTGCCCCACTGCAGGAGCCTCAGATTTGGGTTTGCATCCTACTGGTCTCAACTCCCGCCCCTCTGGCCGAGGGGTCTGCCCTCTGAGGTCAGCAGAAGGCACAGCACCTGCTGGTCCAAGCCCATCCACCATCAAGCAGGAACTGGAGGTGCAGGCTGGGGATCTCCTGGGGTGCTCCTCACACGTCTTGTGGCTCAGAGGCTAAACAGCTGGATGATGCCCCAGGCAGGCCTGCCCAGCCCACCAGAGCCAGGGCCCTGCAGAGCCCCTCTATCTGCACCCCTCCCCCCGCCAGCCCTGAGCTTCACCTTGCCCCTTCCTCTGGGCGTCCTCCCTCCTCAGCAGTGGCCTGGGGCACCCCGTCCATACCAGGCCTGGCCTCCCTGACGTGGCCTGGCAGCTGTGCTCATCACGCATTGGAGGGGAAGCCCCTCTGGGCAGGGACATGTGGACCTCGTGGATTCTAGTGGGCTGTGTGGCCTTGGGGAAGAAGCTGGAGATTGAGAGACTTCCACTGTCTCTGAAGGGCCCCTTGCCGCCGGTTCCAACTATTGTAGGAAACACTGCCCTGTCTCACCCCCACCTGTCTCCACCTGCCCCTTGGCTGTCTCTGCAGGGCAGGGGGGGACTCCGGGGCAGCCCCACCCAGCCCGGAGCCTGGGCCCTGGTGTTCTGCCCCATCCTACGCAGGCAGGCCTTCCCGGGCCCTCCAGAGCACTGCTTCTCTCCTGGCTCCCTGCTCACCCCCGGGGCCCTCTCTCCCCAAAGCTACACCCTCGCCCTGTTTGAAGTTCCTAGCACCTCACCCGTTTGATTTTATCGCAGAACTGTTCTCTCAAGTTTCTGTGCAATGGGTTCCTGCCTGTGGGACTCCATCTACTTCCTGCCCTGTCAGGTCCCTGGCGCAGAGACCCATCTCCGTGAAGCTCGGCAACCCTCGCCCACAGGGACTCCTGTCTTGGGGCCAGCAAGTGCCCAGGACACAGCAGTGCTCGCCACATCAGTGCCCGGCTCAGGCACAGCTGCCGTGGGCGGGATGGGGCGCCAGCTGCCCGGTCCTCTGCTGCTGCCCAGGCCCTTTTTCAAGGCTGGAAGAGGGTTGGATGGCAGATTTCTGTTCCAGACCAGGCCTGTTCTCTCCCTGCTGGGCAGCCTCTGACCACCTGGCCCTCTTCAGAGGAGAACTGGCAGCCAGGGTCCTGCTGTGGGCACAGGGGCACCGCCCAGGGCCCTCGCCCCCCCCCCCCCCAGCCTCTGCTCTTGGTCAGCTTCCTCTCCAAGGTTGCCCCTCACCCCCAAGGTCAGCCCCCTGCGGCAGCGCCAGCCCCTCCCACCTCACCCTGCTGGGCTCTCTGAGGGACACAGGAGTTCTGGATAGGATTCCTTCCTGCCCTTCCTCCTGGATCCCGGCCAGAGCTGCCAGACGCCACTCCTGCAGGCCTATCTAGAGGTGCCTTTGGGGCAAGCTTGTCCAACCCTCGGGCTGAGGGCTTTGAATGCGCCCAACACAAATTTGGAAACTTTCTTAAAACATTATGAGATTTACGCAGGACCTTTTTTAGGTTACCAACTATCGTGAGTGTTTGTGTATTTTACGTGTGGCCCAAGACAATTCTTCCACTTCCAGTGTGGCCCAGGGAAGCCAAAAGATTGCACACCCCTGCGTGAAGGGAAGTGTGTGATGTGTGAGACGCTGTGAGGGGAGCAGGAGCCTGGGAGAGCCAGAGAAAGCGGTGGAAGTTCAGCTCCACCTTGAGGCCTTCGAGGCCCATCCCCGCCAGCACAGCCCACGGCCACAGGCCGTTGACGGCGAAAGCTTCTACGACAGCAGTGTCCAGTGCCGGCGTCCATAACAACATGTGCTTTCCAGGCCATCCCCTTGGCCGGACGCAGTGGCTCAGGCCTGTAATCCCAGCACTTTGGGAGTCCAAGGTGGGAGGATGGCTTGAGCCCAGAAGTTTGAGACCAGCCTGGGCAACATAGCAAGATCCCATCTCTACAAAAATTAAAATTAGCCAGGCATGGTGGTGCGCACCTGCAGTCCCAGCTACTGGGAGGCAAAGGCGGGAGGATCGCCTGAGCTCGGGAGGCAGAGGTTACAATGCGTCGAGACGGTGCAGCCGCACTCCAGCCTGGGCAACAGTGCGAGAGCCCGTCAAGGATCGTTTTCTTTAAATCAATAGGACGATACACGTGAGGTGCAGTTGGCTTGGTCTTTACATAGACAAGCAACCTGTATGCTAAAAACGTAAAGCTGGGGTGCTCCCCTCTTGCTCAGTAATGGACAACTTTCAACAAACGCCCTCTTCTCACTGCACTCTGACTCACCTTGAATTCCTTCCTGAGCGAGACCCAAGAGCCACGTCTTGAGGTCTAAACAGAGACCCCTTTTTCACAGAGCCCCTGTCTTAAATGAGCCGCTTGGGTTCTTGCGGGTCCTTTGTACTTGGGGTTTATTAAAACAACACAGTATTGTTTTATCCTGATGACCGTTTTTCTGGTGTCCCTGTGAGCGCTGTGCCCCCAAGGCCAGTGCCTCACGTGCCCACCCGGGAGCTGGGGCCAACCGGCCGGGTCCTCTGTGCGGGTCTCAGCCGTGGACCCCGAGAGAGGATGTGAGTCCCCCTCCCGCTTCTCGAGGTTCCTCTGTCACCCCCAGTACTTTCTGCTCCCCTCTTCACAGAACCAGGTCTGGAAGTGGACGTCCTGCTGGGAAGTCCCATCCCCCAACTGATCATGCCTAAAGCCTGGGGCGTCATCGTGAGGGGCTGGTGACCAGGACACAGGGTCTCTGTCTAGACAACCTGCCTTTGTGTGTATTTGATATTTTCCATGATAAAAGTGTACAGAGAACTGAGTGTGTGGGACAGTAGGGGAGGGGAGGGCAAAGCCCATCAGCTGTGGGGTAGAGGAGGTGGCCTGCAGGGGTCCCAGGGCGGCTGCCCAAGACCAACACCTGTGGCCTGGGGTCCCCTCCACCCAAGACCCACCCTCTGCCCAGCCTCCTGTGATGGCCCCACCCCAGCCTGCCCTGCCCACACCCAATGGGATGTCCTATGTGACCCTAGACTCATCTTCCGACAAGAACCAGCCCCAGGTGCCACCGCCCCCAAAGCCAGGGCAGCCAGCGGGGACTGGGCCACAGGGAGTGGTTTGGGTTGAGGGTGGCAGAGAAGGCCGAGGCCTGTTCCCTATGCCGGCTGGGCGGGCAGCAGACAGCATTTGCTACCTGGGAGGAGTCGCCAGGGCACCGAGGGGCAGAGTGCAGACCAGGCCAGCAGAGCCTTTAGGCTGCAGGAGACCCCTCCCGCCCACAGCTCTTCGGCCCTCCCCTCCTTCCTGGGGACGTCTTGCAGGCCTCAGCCCTGGCAGAGGTCACCTCTTCTTTTCTTTTTTTGAGACAGAGTCTTGCTCTGTCACAAGGCTGGAGTGCAGTGGTGCGATCCCGGCTCAGTGCAACCTCTGCCTTTCAGGCTTAAGTGATTCTCCTGCCTCAGCCTCCCAAGTATCTGGGATTATAGGCATGCACTGCCATGCTTGGCTAATTTTTGTATTTTTAGTAGAGACTGGGTTTCACCATGTCGGCCAGGATGGTCTCAATCTCCTGACCTTGTGATCCGCCCGCCTCAACCTCCCAGAGTGCTGGGATTATAGGCATGAGCCACCACACCTGGCCTGGGCCACTTCTCTTACTTGAAAACCTCCTACCCAATGGCGGGCTCCTTCCTGTGGTCCCTACACAAAAGTCATTTGTGGCCCCTGAGACCCTCACTGCTTGCCGAGGTGCTCAGGCTGCTTTCAGCAGCCGACAAGCAGCACGGATGCAACGAGGAAGCAGTGGGGTGGGCAGGGGGCTTCCCCACACCTCCGGGGACTTCCCTGCCCCATGCCAGGCTCCCTTCAGAGGGACTAAGAAGGTGCTGTCCTGGCTGCTCCCTGCTCCAAAGCCCCTCTGACCCACCCGCAGCATGGCTCCCCCCTCCGAAGTGCCTCTGCTGGGCCTCTCTGAACCCCACACAGGCTCCAGCCATGCCAGGTGTTCAGGGGGGTCCTCACAGCCTGAGCGTGGGGCCCTTGGCAGGAGGTGGGCACCACCACAGGATGGGCAGGGGACACGGGGCCCCAGGGGTGGAGAAGGGATCCTGAGGGGACCTGAGGGGGACTGCGATGGGGGCAGGAGGGTCCTAAGAGGGTCTGAGGAGCTGCAGGTCACACTCAGGACCCTGCCTTGCCTCCCCCATGCCCATTCCTCCCATCAACAGGCACCCTCATGATGATGCCTGCAGCTCTGCCCACCTGCAGCAGGAGCCTGGCTCTGCCCTGGGCACTCAGGGCCCACCTTCCTGCCTTGGAACTCCGGCCCCGCCCTCACCCAGCCTGTGGGCATTAAGGCACCTGGCCACCAGCACGGGGGCACTGCCTAGGGAGATCCCAGCCTGGGCCACCAAAGGCCAGGACAGGTGCCCCCTGCCCCTGGGCCACCCCCGCCAGCTCACTCACCCCAACGGCTCCCACTGCCTGCTCCTGGGGACCCACTGCTGCCAGATGCCCTGCTGGGGTGCCCGCCTAGCCTCGGGTGGGCCATGGGTGCTGACCCAGCCAGGTTTCTGCTGTTTCCAATGACTTTCCCTTCTCCTAGCCCTGGACAGCAGGGCCGCCCTCCCAGACTCCTTCCCCCTCCTCTGCACAAGGCTGTGACTGGGGGGCCGCCTGCTCCCAGACTCCTTCCCCCTCCTCTGCACAAGGCTGTGACTAGGGGGCCGCCTGCTCCTCCACCCTTCAACCACCAGCTGCCTGTCCCATCCCTAGGCCCTCCCTTCTCCGCAGAGAGCCACCCCGCCCCTGCCTGGGGCCCTCCCAATTCACTCGCCCTCCAGTCCAGGAGACCCCCACTCCCAAGAGCCCCCGTCCTAAGACCCCCTCCTAAGAGCCCTGCTCCCAGTAGCCCCCCTCCCAAGGGCTCCCTCCTAAGATTCCCCCCTCAAGAGTCCCCACTAACATCCCCCCCAGGGCTCCCTCACAAGATCCCCCCTCTCAAGAGTCCCCCACTAACATCCCCCTCCTAAGATTCCTCCTCCTAAGATCCCCCCTCCTAAGATTCCCCCTCCTAAGAGCCCCCTCCTAAGATCCCCCTCCTAAGATTCCCCCTCCTAAGATCCCCCTCCTAAGATCCCCCCTCCTAAGATTCCCCCTCCTAAGAGCCCCCTCCTAAGATCTCCCTAAGATCCCCCCTCCTAAGATCCTCCCTCCTAAGATCCCCTCTCCTGAGCCCCTCTCCTAAGATCCCCCTTCTAAGAGCCCCCTCCTAAGTGTCACTTCCTGGCTCAAGAACCTGCTGAGGCTTCCCGCTGCCTGCCTGAGGCCACCTGCCAGTTGCTGGAAGGTCCTGTGCTCTGGGGACACGTCTGGCAGGGAGCAAGCAGCAGCCCTTGAGAGCTGAGTGTGTGGCGTGTGTTCTCATCCCTGACCTAAAGTGAAACATAAACCCCCAGCAGCTGGACAGGGGAGGGGCAAGCCCTCCAGGCGGGGTTTCCCGGACGTCCTCCCGGGGCGCAGGCCCCCACCTGGCTGGCTTGCCGCAGTCTGTCTAGAACGGGCCCAGGAAATGGCAAGTTTAATCACGCCCAGGAGCCAGAGGGTCCTTAACCCCCTAGGACATGTGGGGTTCTCACGCCCGCCCCTTTGCCCTATCCTGGGACCATCAAACTTCAGATATGCCTGCTCCAGGGTGGGGCAGACGCCTGCTGACAGAGATGGGAGCAGACGCTCACAGAAGAGAGGTAGTGGCTCCTTAAAGGCGCGGACAGATGCTCACAAATTCCAAGTGCACTGCAACACTCCTCCTCCATCAGACAGGCAGCAACACTCCTCCTCCATCAGACAGGCAGCAACACTCCTCCTCCATCAGACAGGCAGCAACACTCCTCCTCCATCAGACAGGCAGCAACACTCCTCCTCCATCAGACAGGCAGCAACACTCCTCCTCCATCAGACAGGCAGCAACACTCCTCCTCCATCAGACAGGCAGCAACACTCCTCCTCCATCAGACAGGCAGCAACACTCCTCCTCTGTCAGACAGGCAAAAATCCGAGAGCCTGACCACAGGAGAAGAGACGTCCTCAGACGGGACCCACTGGTCCCTGGTATCTAAGGTGGTACAAACCCCAAGCAGGTGGATTTGCCAAGTTAGAGCTGCGTTTAGTCTTTGACCTGATAACCCCACTTCTAGGAATGTATCCACAGACAGATGCAAGGACCACGAAGCATGTACTTCAGCAGCTAGTCACCGCCATGGCGTGGAGTGGGGACAGCCTGGGGGCCACTCAGAATCTCTCCCAAGGGCCCGGGTGGAACCAAGTAGGTTCACACCACACAACACTGGGCAGCTGTAAAGAGGATGGAGAAACAGTTCTACTCACGGTCCCACGGTCATCGCCAGGAATATATTTGTAAGTGAAAAATGCATGTTTACATATATATAGACAACGTATGTTTTTTTAGATGGAGCCATCAGCTTGTGTGTTTTACAAATGGAAATAAAAGCCACAAAATTTGCTTTAAATTGTTACCTGGAGAAAACAGGTGGAAATGGGGTGACGGGGTAGGCATGGAAGCTAGACTTTTGTGAACATGTCTTGGTTTCCAGATTTGATTTAGAATCATGTCAATGTTTGTGTAATTCTTTAATGGAATTAAATTAACTTTTGACGGGAATTCTTAAAATTGAGAGCAAAATGAAACCAACTGACTTGCATTGTCGGCCGACGACACGGCCCTACCGAACTCTTCCAAGGGATTTTAAAAGTCATCAGGATGCAGATCCATACAGCCCGACAGCAAAAAACAATGGCAAGAGGGGGTGTTCAGTATTTTCAACAATCATTTTCCAAATAATTGTACAACGCCGTTTTGTCTGTATATCTGTATAACCCAAGGACTTTGAAAGTACCTAAAATAATTTTGAACTATGTTCAGTCCTTACACGGCTGACAGTAGCTGTGTAAAGTTGGTAAAGTCATTTTGGGAATACAGGGCGTGTTACAGGATGAAACAATGACAGCTATGCTGGGTGCTGTTGAGACAGCAGGTGCTGCCGTACTGTCACCGAGGTTAAGGAAAAAGTGTGCAGATCCGAATTTAAACACAAAGTATCAGTGTGTTCTCATCA